TCTTACTTATACTTTATACCTAGACAAAGTATAATTAAGACCATATAATTAAATCAAAGGTTGTTTTACTCTTCATAATAATTAATACACAATCAATTATATGAAATACTTTTATAAATGTTTTTAACAACAGTAATCATCACATTCCTATTAAGTAAATATTGAAGGTTATTTAGTAATTGTGTAGTCATTAATAAGTGATTAACAGGTATTTAATATATTGATCAAAATATAATATATAAGACTTAGACATAACGAAATTTTTGTTTAACAATTTCTTACAAGAAGATAGTTCAGTCACGCCGCTTTTCATCTCCTCTCACGTTTCACTTCTGGTGTTGTTAGCTCAGGTGGTTTCGGAGGAATTCAAGGAACAACTGTTTAATAACCCGAAAACGAACAAAACGAAGCACATAAAAAAAGTAAAACAAGACAGGTATCTTCTCTTTGCACAACTAGGTGTCAGAAAAAAAATATGTGTATGTACAATGTGCGAAGGAAAACATAAACGCAAATATTAAACAATGATTCTCTCCAACTAACCCTGTGTGCGTTTTTTTTTTTATTGCAGCCATTAGGGCGAAGGGGTCAATTACGAAAGAAATATAATAAAGTTTTTTTTTTTTGCTGCCTTCTTTTCTTCTCTGGTGCAGGGACTAAAAGGGGTCCATCAGATGTCATTCCCCGTTAATGGTTCTTAAAATTGTTACTACCTTTTAATTTTATTCGACGGCCGCAGTCGCTGTGAATTTATCCGGACAAAGCTCATTGCCCTTTCAACTTTTCGCCACCCCTTTCCTGCCCTTCGGATTAATTTCATTTAATTAAGATTAATTTTTTTCGGGATTCTTTTTTTTTTGCATGTACGTGCAGTTTTTTTTTATCCGAAGTCGTTTTAATAACTTCTTTTCGCCGTCTTTGCACTTTCCAAGTCTTCTGTTAATTTCTAAATTCTTAATTGACAGTCTTATTAATCATTTATAACCGAGAATAAGCATCAAATTCGGTATCTTTGATATAAATTAACGGATTTAATTCGTTAAATCAAATATTAAATTAGTGAAAAAAAAAAGTTAATGTTCAAGTAAAACTAGAAAAACTATAAATAAAGTTTAGAAATATTTACTCTTTTTAACAAACTATAACTCAAGAAATTAATGTTGGAATAGGGTACATTTCCATAACTTCTTAATATTTTTTCAAGAAGTTATTTAGAAATACATTAATGCTTTAGAAGAAGTACCCCGATTAATAGGCTTTGCGTATACATTAAGTTGTTCGGTACATTTATGGCGAAGGGGAGGAAATCGCAATATTAAGTCCACTTTAGGTTTTTTTCTGGCTTCATTTTTTTCTTTTTAATTTCTGGTTATAATCTGGCCGAGAGTTTTGTCTGTATCTATGTGTATATATATACAGGATTTTTTTGCAGCAATATCAGAGAAAATGATGGGGCGGTCGGAGTAACCCATTTAATCCTATGCTACGGAGTTCTTCTCGGGGTGTTTTTTCCTTCCGTTTCTGTACTTTTCGGCGGTGTAATTTCTGCGTGTTGCGGAGTGTGGGGGGTGGCGGAGGTTGGGTAGTTTATAAATAATGTGGCGCCGTTTGGCGTTAATTTGCGTTGGCTGGGGGATGATACATGCCGTCGGATCGTTGCGTCTCGTGGTATGGGGCGGAAAGTTCTTTAATCGCAGCACTCCACGTCGCATCCGAGCGTCGCGCTGTTATTCGATGGCACCCCGGTGTATAATTCCTCCGCAATCATTCTCATTTAAACAGCGACTTGAGAAAGGTACTTATGTACACGTTAATTTTTAGGAGACGTGAGCTCAAACCGCCCCCGCTTGTATCGGTAGGGAGAGAGAGGCGGCGGGGGAACACCGCTCTGCGGATGTTTGCAGAGCAAATATTGTGTGTGTGTGTATATCGTAAATAGCTATTGTCGATTCCCCATTGTGGAGAAACTCGATCCGCAAGTTAAAAGTGTCCCGGAAAGGATGAATGAGCGAATGCATGGGGGCGGCAGAAGGGACACGGGTTTTCCGCGTGATTAAAGATTTATAGGCGCGCGAGCTCGCATCAACAACAAAAGGCGTATCATCAAAGAAGTAGAGCATGTGTCTTGTAGTATTCTGTAGTCATTTGATGGTCCGCCACCCCCGGCGCTGGAAGATGCGGGCTCTCAAAGGATCTTGGTGTCATCAGCAGCGCCAGTGATTACTGCTGGCAGTGCTATCCATTGTCCCCATCCTCGACCATCACCTCTCCAACCGCCTCCAAATGATAGATACTCTGTTTCGTTATCTGCGGCCGGCCTGCCTAGAAGCCATTGTGAAGCCGCCTCCGCCAAAGCTACATCTCTACGAAACTTCAATGCGGCGCTCCTCTTCAAACAATTAACCTGCATATATCAATTATACACGGAGTTGGCACAAGAAAATGTTTGTCGAGCGTTCGAAATTCGCCGTCCCCGCCCTGATTGCATTTATTGATGCATTAAGCGTCGCTGCCGGAGACGCGGCGGGCGAATTGGATGGCCCGCAGGGCGAGTTTATTGTTCCTTCCGTCTTTACTGAAACTGTTTAGCAAACAACCCCCGGTGAGTGGGGGCCGTCTATGTGTGTACGCGCTGAGGGTGAGGTCCGCTTAATACGAACATAGTTGATATCCTCTTCGCCCATATCGTCTGCTCGGGAGAGGTTCAATTAACTTCTAAGTAGATTAGACCTTACTTATGTCTATATTTTGGGTAGTCAAGGGTTGACAAAACCGACCCTCCCCAATTATTATCGGCCGCCCCTTATACACCTACATAAGAAAGAACAAAGACGTCACTTTATGGATGTGTGACCGTTCGTCTTGGCTTTTTCCACAGATGATATGTGGGTGTCATCAATCTGGACTTCTCAGGATCAGAGGGTCGGAGGTGTAATAAAGAGATAGAGATTGAGAGTATTGTACGAGCGAGAGAAATAGAAGTAGGGAGAGAGTGTCACCAACTTCATCGGAAGTCGTGCGTGTGACGTGCGTTTCGGTGCGAAGTCGTGCAGACCAAACGGCCGACACTTCTCCTCTTCTTATCGAATTGTTCTCTTGTAATTCGAAGTTTCGCGTCTGAAACGACACCCCCGCCGGTGGAATAAATACTCGCTTTTAAAGAGCACGTCTCTAAAATGAGGGCAGCCGTGGGATGCGTGCATGTACCAAGGTCCTAAGGTCCGCCGTTTATCTTGCCTCCTGGACGTTGCATATCTCCCGGTTCTTTTATCCTCCCGTTTGTTTTATATATGGCGAGGTAATATATATTATGTATAACTACCTTTAAATGCTGCCCATCTGTTTTGAAACTTTGGCAGCACAATGCGCTTATTTTGGCTGCGAGAGCAAAGAAGAAAAAGAAAAAAAAAACGAGGTTGAAAGAAAGAAAAGAAGTGCGAGCGGGAGAAAGAGGAGGTGGAGGAGGGTTTGCATAGAGGAGAGCACCCTCATGACATTAACTTTACTTTTTAAAAGAGGCCATACATATTGGACGTGTCGTTTCCGACGCCCGTTTACCATTTTTTTTTCTTCCCCCGATGGCCTTGCCGCCACCGCCGCCTCGTATACAGCCTGTTAAATCTTTATGATGAACGTTTTATACGCGACTCCCCAAATGATACTTTCTTAAGTTCATAATGCAGAAAACGCAGTTATAACAGGTATTTTAAATAATCACCATCAACCTGAATACTACCAAAATGTTAATAAACACCATATTTTTAATTATATTTTTATTTTACAATATTCCATTTAAAATTATTGCAAAATATATATCAAATATGAATTATATCAATCAATTATCTTCAAGATATTAAAATTTTATAGTCATACTTGTATATATAGGAAATATTAATAATTTAATTTTATGAGTTTAATTTGTATTTAGTTTTTTTTTTATATAAAATGTATGTATTTTCTATATTTAGAAAGTTCAAATTATAAATCGTCAAAAATTTATATATAAATATTGTATGTAAATTGTATTTACTGTTCGATTTATTATATTATAATTGGTATAATGAAGTAATTAATTATATTACGATAAAAATGTTGAATACAATATTTTAAAATAAAATTTTATTTAATTTGAAATGTTTAAACGATTTAAGATTATATACAATTATAATAATTTGTTAAATATTTTTTAATAAAAAGGAAATAAAAATATAGGTAGCACCATAAGGAGAGCTCAATATTAGCCCTACGATTTTTGTCCCTACGATTAACAACGACTCCGCTCAGTTATTCATGATATTTAATTATAATTAAAACTGTCGCGTCTTTACTTTAAAATTAGCTTTTTATTAATATCGTCGGTTCGCTGGGCCCGCGCCGAGATAATGCCGGAATAATGATTAGAAACTAATAAAGGAGGGTTGACGGACGGAAATGACGATTCTTCGGCCCCGTCGAGATGTGAATAATTAATTTCGCGGCAGGCCCATTGTTGGGGTGCATCTCTAACTCGAAGAATAATGGTTGCGTGCCAATGTCAGCCCGGTGTTGCGGCAGCGGCGCGAGGGTTCGCGGCTGCGGTGGCGGCGATTCTTCGACCCTTGCACCAGGTCGCCGACGCTCGGGGTGGACGTCTTCTTGAGGATGAGGGGGCGGCGGGTGGTGCTGGTAAGCGTGCATGTGTGCTTCTGCCTCGTAGCAAACAAGGGTATTGATCAGGAAAGGCGAGTAAACAAGTAGATCAGGGGGGGACGGATGGGGTGATTTTTGGGGGACGATGGGCGCGCGGTGGGTGCTTACACGCTTTCCCATTTCATTGCTTCGGCCATGGACCGGGGCGCGCGGACGAATCCCTTATTGTGCATCGCCTGGTGATTGGCATGTGTTGTGCCGCGGCCGTTAGTGTTGAGTGCGCCGCCGCCGCCGCCAACGCCAACGTCGCCGCTGCCGCCGCCGCCGCCAACGCTGCCGCCACCGACGCCGTCGCTGCCGCCTCCGCAACCGCCGCCAGCGAGACAACGCGCGACCCGCTGGAGGAGGAGAGCCGTCCACAGTCTAACCAGTCCAACACCAGACACGGTATCGCCGTGTACTGTCTTGCTCCGTTTGGTAGCGATACACACGTGGCTTCGATACCACCGACCCATCACCACCACCACCACACGACACCGTCACCTCCACCACCCACCGTCGCGCAGACCTCTCCATCGCTCTCTGCTTGCCCAAAACTCCGTCGACTTCCGGAATGCTGGAACCTCGCTGGAGGCCCGTGCAGGTAACCAGAGAGCCGTTCGCTATTATTTTACTTTACTTTTTTTTTATTGTTATTCTCCTGACGAGAGTCGCGCGGGGGTGGCGGCAACGGCGGGTGGTTTCCGTTTTTTTTTCTTGTTTTTTTTTTTAGTTGGAGGCGGTGGGCGTTGGGTGGCCCCACCACGGAGGAGGGATATCTTATATATAGATATATACATGCATTATATAACTATATATATATAAAGCCCGTGCCCGACCTCTAAGGAGGTTCGCGTCTTGGCTCTCGCGCGACTCCACCCACCGCCCACGACAGCATCGCAGCATCATCTTCGTTGAAGGATGCCGCCACCTCCTCCAACATCCACCACCTCCGCCCGAGCCGTCCTCCCTCATATTTATCATTTGCATTTCTCGTCCGAACTTCTTTTTGTTTTCTTCTTCTTCTCCGCACACTTTTTTTTCTTTTATTAATATTCTGCAGCTCGCCCAGAACTGAATTAAAAATATTAAAATAAGAAGAAGAAGAAAAAGAAAGAAAAACCAAAAAGAAGGAAACAAAATTCCAGAAGCACCAAATAAAACGCCACTCGAATCCAATTACAATATTATTAGGTACCGAAGAGAAGAGCGCCGCTGTTTGTATAATACACCAATAACTTTCAATCTCTTCATTTTAATAATTAAAAATTCATTATTTGCCGCTCCCGATTTTTCTCACAATTTCTTCTTCTTTTTTTTTCCTTCCTACTTCTTCAGCTGCGTTCTTTTTTCTGGTATCTCCCTCTCCGCCTTTCGAGGGTTCACTTCGCATACATTAATTTTGTTAATTAAAAATAAAGACACGAGTGAAACTTTTCGAGCCGCGACGGTCTCGAATTCAATTAGCTTAATTTTTTTCATATTAATTTCGGGCGAAAATTTCAATCAAATTAGCCCCCACCTGAAGTGGGAGGTAAACAGCGATTGTTTTTTTCACTCAATTCCTTTTTTCTTGTGATTTTTACGTTCGGGGTACGGTTGTTGCGAAGTGCAGAAAAGCGCGGGAAATTGCTTCGCCTGTTGTGTGTTGTGTTGGGGGCGGCGGCGTGTGTTTGTATCGTTCAGACAGCGCAAATAGCTCCGGACGACTGCACGTTGTTCCTGCCGTTCCCGTTCCCGCGCGCCGCCGTCCCCGCCGCTCTCGGTATCACTTAAATTGTATTTAACCGCATTAACAGTTGGAGAGAGGCTTCATTGTGTGTATTGCTTGTAATTTCACGCAAAATTGAGCTCAATGAATGCGAACGGGTTTATGAGATAAATGCCCCCGGTGGCGGTCGTTAATTAATCAACCCAATATATTAATATGTTTCGCAACTATTCCGCTCCTGCAACCGTAGATATAGCTATGTGCCCTTACCCCATCCATACTCATGCCTATACCTATATAGGTGAGCAAGTTTAGGAGAGACCAAGACTCTCCTCCGCCCAAGACAAGACAAACTAGCGAATGCCTGAATGCCATCCTGACCGAACTACATAAATAATCTGCGGAGGGCAATTAAGATAAGAACGTGTTTAATATTTCAATGCGCTTATGGGGAACAGATATTATTCGAGGCGAACCCTATAACCGTGTGTATCTATATACACATCGTCGAGGTGTTAAGACTACTGTAAATCCCCTTTCCCAGCTTTAATTAATTCCTGACTGCGCCCTTATTGCGAGTACACAACTCGCTCTCTATAAATTGTTCTTGCCTGATTGGAACACTGTTTAGATAACGACTGTGCGCCCTTTTTTTTTCTTCTCCCTAATTCTTATATTCTTTTTTTTTACCGCCACCCCCCCGGGAAACACGCCTCAATTGGATCTACTTTTCGCAACATTTCTCTTTATTGCCGCCTCCCATCTTATTATTGAACAAATTATCTTCGCTATTTACATTCGACCCTCTCATCCCTTTTTCTTTCTTCATTTAATTCTTTTCCAAAACAATACACAAATCGATAAACTTCAATTATTTACTTAGAATTAATTATTAAAAATTGAAGAAACACCATTTTTTTATTCAATTTATATAATTTATAATTAATTAAAAAATAATTCGTAAGTGTAAATATTCCAAAATTAAATTTCTAATTAAATTTCAACGTTAAATCTAGAAGCTTAAAGCATTGTGTTATTATACTATTGTTTCCATATATAATTCCACTTAATTTCTATAACTTCTATTTAGTTAACACATTATATAATTGAATATAATATAAATTTGAAATCAAGCTAAAAATAAAAGAAACCGCGCAAATCCTCATAATCTTTTTAATTGGATTTAATAAAATTGTACAAAAAAAAATTAATTTCAAATTTAGCTTCAATGATTAATGAAAAACAAAGGGAAAATATTGATATAAATAAATTGATCTAAATAATGAAAATTTATTTTGCTTCATTTTTTTTTTTAAATTATTAATTGATTCAAACTCCAGACTTTGTGTTTGTATATATGGAATACAGAATTCCAAATTGTAATCTGCATGTTGTTAGAATATTCAATAATGTCATTTCTCCCCCTAAGCTAAAATATTTTTTAATTTGCAAATCCGCCTCGAAGCGAATCGATAATACTCCCCCAAGGAAAGAATATTTTTCACTGCAGCAATGCATTAATGCTGTTTTTTTTGCACTCTTCGTTATTATTAATTAATTAATTTGTATAATAAATTAAAAAAAAAATGTAATGAGACTGAAATAGATGATTCTGTTTTTCATATTAATTTTGATGCTGTATAATAATTGTATAAATAAAAATCGAAGATTGTTTGCGAAAATGTACTATATGTATTATTAATTTTATTATTTCACTCGAATTTTCATAAATGTTATTTCAACGGAAAATATTATTCGCGTAATAAAAAGTGAAGCTTTCATAACGGGAGCAAAAACAACATGATTTTCTCTATTCGTTAATTATGTAAAATTGTTCATGTGTTAAGTGACAATTTCACTTCAAAGGACTATATATTCAGAAATATATTCAGTATTTCATTATTTTTAAGTGGACGCTGCAAATTGCTGACAATCTGTAGCGGCCAACGTCACATATATAAATAATGATTTAATTCTATAAAAGAAAATTTTGTTTCTATTTAATAAAACAATCATTTCATTCTACAAGGATTATAATCATTTCATTATACGAGGATTGTATAATGAAAATAATAGTAACATCGTTGTAAATAATAATTTATACGTGGAGTCTAACAATTTTATTTTCATCCTTTTGTAATTTCTCTACATAATTTCCATTTATTTCTTAATTCAGTAGAGACACTTTTCAAAACATTCCTCAAAATCGGCTTTTTGGTGCTTTTCAATTTTACTTAATGATTTCTTCATTGGAACTGAAGACTTTTTACTTCATTTTTTTTTTAATTTTCGCAAACAGCCAGAAATCACAAGGAATTTCATTGATGCCAGAGAGCGCAAGAAAGTTGTTGTTTATTTCAGTAGTATGAGTGGACGTATGATCGTGATGTAAAAAGTAGCGACGAAGTTCCCCTGGTTTTCCAACAAATTTTTGAAAACTTGTAGTAATCAAGTTTCTGTGTACTATTTAGTAGTTACCCCCGACCAGTTTCGAGTGAGATAGCAGCTTCCACTTTTACCCTAGTAGAGAAAATCGACATCATCACTTTTGTTTTGTTTTCTTGCTTTAACTGGGGGTATTTGCACCTTCTGCGCTTTATACCATGGACTGCTTAATCTGTTACGATTTTACTAAAAGTGCTAGAATCTCCATTTTCAAAATTTTCCAAGCAATATTCGTCAAAACGAATATTGGTCGTCATTGGAATCCATCGAGCGGATTTCTTTGTGCAGCTAAAGTCATGATTTACTATTTGCAACAAAGCCATGGCATTCAAGGCCATTTCATCAACTACCATTTCCTGTGTCAATCATGGATCTTCGTCAATGTTTGTCTTCACCTGGGCTACATTTGTATCATCGGTCGGGCAACCATCACGAGGTTCATCCTACACAGAAAAATGTCCGGTCTAAAATCTTTGAAACCACTTGGAAATAATCACAAGGGATGATGTATTCACTTTATATACATTTTGACATTCCTGAAAATTTGCATAGGCTTGAGTTGACGTCGAAATCCGTAGAGAATGACAAAACAAATTTTTGCTGTGTTGCTGGTGGAATTTCTATCAAACTTACATTTTCTCCTATCCATTCTTATCGATCTTCTTGAAATTGGATATGAAATATCGTTAAACTTTAACAAATTGTGAAACAAATGAATTAATGCGTACTTTTTGTTAGTATATATAGAGAGAAAAGAATCGTCTTTAAAAAAAATTCTGAAAATATCAGTGGGCTTTAATGAATTTCCGCAGGTAAATTATTTGCATCGATAAACTGTTTATTGTTTCAGCCGCGTTCCACATACGTGTGTATGTTTATGAAATGGAAATACTTTATTTATTTATATCCGCACGCACACGGGCGCGCAATTTTTCTCCCTTTCCATTTGCATACATTTTTTATTCATGGGGCATAATTTCGTTTAGGCGAGTTTGTCAGTGCTGTTCCGACCAAATCCATTAAATTTCAATAAACTAGTTTATTTAATAAACGTTTTAATATTGATTCACGTGTGAGACAGTTTATTAGAATTTTTTTTAAAGAAATTACAATTTTTCAATCAATCAATTAATATTTTCTACTAGATTTATTTTTTAAATATTTACCTAGAAATTAAATTATTCAATTTTAGTAATTTCTACTGAAACGAAATTATTATATTATTTTTTTTTAAACTTTGAAAGGAAGTTTGCTTTATTTTTGTGATTTCGTAGAGTTGGATTGGGTTGTTTTCGCGAAGCGGCTGATAATGAAGTCCGTTGTCCTGGGGGCAGAAAATTCGCTCTTGAGGTACGAAATGATAAGATTGCAGGAACATGCAAATGCGATAAGACATTGCTATAATATTTATACAGACATTATTTAAATCCTGGGATCGCGGAACTCGA